ATATATATATATATATCAGCCTCCTGATGAGTCGGTGAAACTCCGACGAAACAGTTTGTCACAGCCCCTCGTTTGTTGTCCTCTTCTCTCTCTCTGCCTACGGTTTTACCGGGCAGTTCTGTTTGTGACGATATATATCTGTTTGTGACGATAAATATATATATATTGACGATATATGTATATCCTGATGAATCAGTAAAACTCTGACGAAACCTTTTGTCACTGCCCCTCGTTTGATGTCCTCTTCTCCCTCTCTGCCTACGGTTTACCGGGTCACGAGGTGGGAGCAGGGCATACCGATTGTAGACTGCCATGGCATTAAAGAAGATTGCAGGGGCTACAACCGATCGACAATCTTCATCCTTGCACCGGACCTAAGGGTGGTCTTGGCAAAGTTGACAGAGTGGAGGAGAGGCTGGAGAGATTGAACAGTAGGGTCTGCCATAGCCAGGGTTGATTGATCTGAGGTGGGAGACGAGGGGAGACTTGCCCTGGAGGAGAAGTAGAGTATGAGACTGGATGACATTGGAAGAAAAAAAACCTAGTTCATTTCGTTGTAATTTTACACACAGGGTGAATAGAAACATCACACGGTCAACAGATCGAAGTCCAAAACGAAGCCATCGGGTCAGTGCCTGCAAAAATTGCCGCTCCAGTCTTCATTGATGTTCATATGTCTCCTACTCCCGGTACTTGACCACCATACACAGTGTCGACCTTCACAGGTTACCAATGGCTTCAGCAAGGGTGAATAAAAACAGCACACGATCAACAGGTCGATGTGATTCATTGTCGTTTTACACGCAGTTGTTCATCGTCTTCCATGCCATTCTCTTCTGGTGCTAGCATGTTGTTATTTGCTGTTATTTGCTGTTATTTGCTGTTATTTGCTGTCATTTGCTGCTTCATTGATTGATTGGCGGATCAAGACTTGCTTGAAATTGCTTCGGGTGTGATTGAAGCTTCTGTTGAATGGTTTCATGGGAGGGAACCACCTTTGAGAGTACATGTGCATTTGATGATTTGAGGCTTAAACCATGAGTACCTCGCCCGGGCAAACTCAAAAATCGAAAGTGCATCAATCTGGGTTCTTGGGATGAAGAGTGCTACCAGGCCAAAATGGATGGTGGCACCAGCCAAAAAGGAAAAAAGTGCACAACTGAATGTTCGTTTTTGTTTGGGGCGCAAAGCAAATCTGCGTCAGGAAAAGGAGGTGCGGAGGTACTGGTGGTTCAAATGCTATTTGAAGTCGTGGATTGTCAATGAATAGAATACTATCGGATTTGTATTGTAGGACTGCCAGCCAGGTTCACAATTTCTTACGGTTCTAGCCCCTCCAAACATTGAATTTATGTGCAGTTTGTTATAGAGAGTCGTGATGCTGACACAGAAGACAGGCGATTTGCACCAGTGAAGCTGGCGATGGGCAATATTGTGAACGTACTTAATGGTCCTATGGACCATGGCTGGTGTGAGAGCTACACATGCCTTAAGCGGGTTTCAACATTCTTCACATCAGTAATTACCGGCAGAACCTACAGACTGAACACCACAGGTGAGAGGGGCTCAAACTGGAGGGTACTTACAACTCCATAGCCATGGGATTTTGCTGCGGTCAATTACCCAATTCACCCTTGTCTTTCCTTGATTTCAATACTACCTTCTCAACACACCTGCCATTTCATTGTTACTCTCTCGTTTAAAAGTTGTTTACCTGTAAGAGGAACAGAAGGCTCGATGCTATCGTGTGCAATAGCATGCCAGTGAGGCTACCAGTGATACCTTTACAGCCTAATACATTACATGGCTGAGACTCGCTGCACGTTCACACTCCTTTGAGCCAGGTCATGTAAGGAACCATTCTCGAACTCTGTTCAAAGTTCGGACCACTGAGACTTGTATCGAATTTGAAATTCTGAGCTTCCAGCATCCCTTCGTTGCTTAATGAACCCACCTGCTGTTGGAGCCAAAAAATTGGATCACAGGTCGGCACTCTCTTGAGACTGGCCCAGTGTCCAATCCAGTGCATAGCAAAAGGAGACACAGATATGTCCATTCAGACTGAGTAAAATTATCTTGTGAAAACACTGCACTACGAGACGTCTGCTATTGCACCCCATTTATGACTTGCAACATTGAACCTTACTGAGGTTCAACCACCCCCAGGAGTGCTGCTTTTCACAACAACATATGATGTGTGCATCAGTGGACACTGTGACCAAGTGGATGGTACTTTGCAGTACCTAGCAATTGAGGAAAAGGGCACTATAGGTGGAAATGTGTGTTATCTGACAGATGCCTGATTGATAGTTGCACAGATCATGGATGGGTTGGTGGGAGGTGCATCACTAGGATCCGCGTGCCGCTGGGAACTCTTCTTTGCCAAGATCCGATCCAGTGCTAGAAACAGAATGACTGAACGTCTGAGGGATCTTACGGATTCTTACCAACCCGAGTACGTATGGCGCCGACTTGGTGAGTATTGCAAGAGTTCTATGCAGACCTCTGTGAGACCAAAACAACCTCCCTTCTATCTATACAAATAGTCACGGCTCACCATACAATGATTTCCTATAGGGCGAGGACAATCACCCAGGAACAGTCAGATGACTTTGACCAGCCAGTCTCTCTAAAAGATCTTCAAGAAGCAGTGGAGAGGATGGGAAATGAGAAGGCCCCAAGTGTAGACGGGCTGACAACGGAAATTTGGTCCCATTGTATGCCAACTCTAGGGGAAGCGCTCCTCCAGTTCTTCGACAACAGCTGGGGTAGGGGGGACTGAGCACCTACCTCAGTACTAGTGTAGCATGGCTACTACAGAAGAAAGAAGGAAAAAATATCTTAAAAATTACAGACTTAGATCGCTAGTTCTTCCCTTGACCTAAAACCTCTGTGCACATGGGGGAAGAGGGATCAGTGGCGACAGTTGGGTCTCCAGATTAGAGTCAGAATGACGGACTTGGAACTAAACGAACAAATGTCAAAATGTTTTTTTTTTGCCAGAATAAAAGCTAACAACATGTCCAACTCAATCGAGGGCCTAAAGGATTTGAAAGGCCAACAGGAAACCCATACAGATAGTGAGGGGATGTTGGAAGTTGCAAAAGACTTCTATAAAGAGTTGTACCAATCAAAGACACCATCGACCACCCCCTCTAGCGTCCGGGAGGCCAGATCTAGGATGCTTCAATATCTTGACAAGACAATCTCAGAAGAACAAGCGGACAACTTGGACAAACCCCTAACTATGGAAGAACTACTCTTTGCTGTAAAAGGTAGTAAAAACTTACTAAAAGTACAAATAAGTTGGAATAACAATAAAACCCTGGGAGTAGATGGGTTAACAAAAGAATTTTGGGAGAAATTCTGGCCTTACTGGGAACGGATCTGATGCACTTATACAACGGTAGCTAGGAAAAGGGGCATGGGAGAACCTCTAATACCACCAGCGGAGTCACGCTACTCTACAAAAAGGGAGAGCAGGAAGACATCAGGAATTATCGGCCGATTTCTGTTCTCACACTTCCCTACAAAATCCTAGCCTTCCGAACACTGGACCTAACAGACAAGTGCTTTCATATAGACCAGGCTGGGTTCATACCAGGAAGATACATCCTCGACAATGTCATGATTCTCAACGAGGTCTCAAAGAAGATCATGGAAAATAACTTTATGGGTTTAGAACTTTAGACAGGTAGAGGGGTTAGAATGGCGAGTCAGAAACAGATGGAGGGACAGAGACTATAAGGAACTCGCTGTAATAAATTCTTGTCTGCCTTCGTTGAATGGCGCAGGTGGAATAAATTCTTGTCTGCCTTCGTTGAAGTTTTCGTCCTCCCTTTTTTGCCTTTGTTGTGTCTATATGTTGTTGTTCTGGAATAGCATGTCGAGATTTTGAAGCATGGGACACTGGACCCGTTTTCCAGTACGAGCCTAAGCGGGGTGGAGGGATTCCCGGCCTCCTTTTGCTCATATAATGAAATCATGCTATTT